GTTCCAGAGATCAGGTGCAATCATGGTGTGGAACTGTCCTCTTGACATAACTGTATCTGTGGTTGTCTTTCTCTGGGAAACGGATGGCAAAAAGCAACAGAACACCTTGAAACACAAGGAGAAAGGTATAAGCACTCTGAATTTCAAAAGTGAGGCAGTGAGGCTCAAGGTGTAGTACAGGTGTGGCTGTAAGGTCCTGGAGTTAGGCAGGAATATACCACCACTTGGCTCTAGAGACTTTTCTAAATGTCTCTTATTGTCATCTAATACTTGTTGAATGAAAGCAATAGACTTGCAATGCCGGGTAGTTTCAGGCTCATCCTTTCCAGAGATGAGTTTATCTGTGCTTGAAGACCTAGCCAAACCACCTCTTCCACTTCCTTCATGGACCACTGCTTAAACAGCAAAGCTGTCTGGTTAAGTTGTGTACTTGCTAAGGCAGGAGAGGTGAAAACTAATATTCGATTTATAGGAGCTGCAGTATTGACTAGCTGTACTTAACTCGTCAGGAGACTGCATGTTTTTCACTTGACAGTAAGCCAATACCTGCAGAATTTTAGACTCTTTTTTTAGAATTCAAGGGTTACATTCTGGATGCAGTCTGTGGTGTCTACTATTCCATAGGAGGAGGCTGCCATCCAGAAGACTGAATACCAAACTACTGAGATTTTACTTCATGTAGATCTAACCTGCTCTGTAAATCCAGTCTTGGAAAATCTCCTGGGAGAATGAAGGAGGGAGATAACATCAGTTGGAAACTTCCCAACTCATTTTGCATCTCGCATGCAGACTTCAAGTTTATAAAATTCAGCTGAACTTTAAACTGAGGTGAAATAAATTTCTTAATAGATTTAGCATCTGTTTCTGGGTGGGCTAACTAGTCAAGGTGTTTGGACTGTGTAATACAACAAAAGAATTTGAAGCTGCTTCCTCACTAGATAGCAGCCTGCATAGTTGGCAGGGCTCAGGCATTAGGAACACAGGGTGTTAGCTCCTACTTGCCCTGCACTGCAGGATTACCAAATGTGTGCTTCCAGAGTCATCTGATCTCGTGTACCTATAAATTTGTGTGTCCTGGGGAATTGTACAAAATCCATAGGGATGCACAAGGAGTCTGACTGTAGGTGGTTGTACAACTGTGCACAGAAGCCTAATGCTTAACTAGTAGATCATGAACCTGGAGGTCTGAATGTCTTACTATTTCTGCTGTAGGTTGTGATCGAGGCCTTGCTAGACCTTCACCTGTCCTGCTTTAGCAGGTGATAAAGCTGTGAGACTGGCCTGAGGAGGTGAGGGACCGAGGCTATGGATCTTTACTCTTTATTTCAGAAAAAGCTTTGAAACTTGAGGAGGTCTTTATAGATACTCTCTAAGACTTGAACCATAGAATGCTTTGGGTTAGAAGGATGTGTTGACAGAACCTGCCCTCTGTTCCATCTGCCTCGCTGGCAGAAGCAGCCTCCCCTCCTTCCTGCTGTGGGACTGCTTGAATTTGTGGCAGTGTGACTATACTGTGAGTAATAGCTGATGTGACAAAAGGGTTTTTTTTTTTTTTTTTCTGTGACACAGGAGGAGCCCCC